AAGAAAAAAAAAAAGAAAACCTGAGAAAACTAACAAGACTGTGCAATGATGCAACTGGCCCCTTTCACCTTCCATTGAAGACACAAAATAACCATAAGCATGAGAAGGCCAAAATATTACAACCCAAAATACAACAACAACAACCCAATGGAATGCCACAAGTGGGGTCTGGGGAGGGTAGTGTGTACGCAGACCTTACCCCTACTCCGGAGGAGTAGAGAGGCTGTTTCCGATAGACCCTCGGCTCACGACGATGGAAAGAGACAGTGGAGCAGCAACACCACAGGAAGCTAGAAAGATAATACCAGCAACGTAATAACCAGAAAATGGAAAGAAAAGCAATAACAATAAGCAGTACAATGGCACAGTACTACAAACACAGTAGAAGTAATAAGGACACAACAAGAGCCACTAGCATCCTACGACAAAACACTATCAAACTAGCCTCCTACAACCTAACTTGCAACCCTAATGAACTAGTATGTACACCACAGGAGCTACTAGCAGCCTAAGACAAAACACTATTAGACTAGCTCCATAGCTCCTAACCTACAAACTTAATGCTCGACCTTCACAGCTTCCTATCAAGTGCCATGTCCTCGAAAATTTGAAGCCGCACCATGTCCTGCCTGATCACCTCTCGCCAATACTTAGGCCGCCCTCTACCTTTTCTCATACCCGTCAAGGACAACCGTTCACACCTCCTTACCGGCGCATCTAGGCTTCTCCTCCGTACGTGCCCGAACCATCTAAGCCTAGTTTCCTGCATCTTGTCTTCAATGGAAGTCACGCCCACCTTCACCCGGATATCTTCATTCCTAATCCTATCCAGCATAATGTACCCGCACATCCATCTCAACATCCTCATTCTTAATCCTATCCAGCCTAATGTACCCGCACATCCATCTCAACATCCTCATTTCTGCCACTTTTATCTTCTGGATATGAGAATTCTTGACTGGCCAACACTCTGCACCATACAACATGGTCGGTCTAACCACCGCTCTGTACAATTTACCTTTAAGTTTCAGAGGCACCTTCCTGTCACACAAGAAAGCCAGACGCTAGCCTCCATTTCATCCACTTCATCCTTATACGGTGCGCGACATCCTCAACAATCTCCCCATTCCCTTGGATTATCGACCCCAGGTACCTGAAGCTCCCTTTCTCGGGGATGATTTGAGAGGCAAGCCTCACGTCCATGTCCGCTTCTCCCGATACGCAGCTAAACTTGCACTCCACGTATTCTGTCTTAGTCCTGCTCAACTTGAAACCTTTAGACTCGAGGGTCTGTCTCCAAACCTCCAACCTCTCGTTAACAACGCCTCGCGTCTCATCGATCAGAATTATATCATCGGCAAATAACATACACCATGGCACCTCTCCTTGAATATGGTGTGTCAAAGCGTCCATCGCCAGAGCAAATAAGAACAGGCTGAGCGCAGATCCTTGGTGTAATGCCATAACGGGAAAATGCTCCGAGTCGCCCCCCACAGTCCTAACACGAGTCTTCGCTCCATCATACATGTCTTTAATCACCCTAATATAAGCTACCGGAACACCTTTTACCTCCAGGCATCTCCAAATAACTTCCCTAGGGACCTTGTCATATCTTTTTCTAGGTCAATAAACACCATGTGCAAACACCATGTACAATCCAAAATAACCGACACATTAGCAAACTGGCATTTGCATCTTCACCGACAAGCCGACCCTCAATATAGTAGGGAAATCTACCTCTTTAGATTGTCTTTTATTTCTTATCTTTCCTTTTCTCTCCGCTTGTTTTGCTTTATGGAACTCACTCGTGTTCTAGCTCATTACCTCTTCCCATACTTTTTGTGACTACAATAATATGTAAATTATGAAACTCAAACCCGATAAGAAAAATGATTGCAAAAAAAAAAAAAAAAAAAAAAAAAAAAAAATACAACAGTGCACCTTTCTACTTATTTCAATAGTTCCACTTAAAAGCCCAACCAACCACCCCATACTTCAACTTTTACAAAGTTCATACCAATTTCAACTGCTCACGAGAGGTAAATTTTTCAAATAGATGGCCAATTNTTGGGAACGGGCTATTTCGAACATTTGAAGAGGAATTTGATGTCCACACAAACTTTAGTTGGGGAGGGGAGGCTTCACCTCCATAATATTGCAATTTTCATCACAAGCTGTAAGCCACCAAAATTAGAAAAGGCCTATGGTCGAATTTAACCAACTACCTAGGTATGTGTAGCATCCTAAGTCAGCTAATAATTTGAATAAAGACTCTTCCGGGGAATACTGATGTCTTTTTCCTTTCAGCTTGTGTGTGTAGTACAAGTGCAAACTGCAATTCCCTCTCAGTGATGAATAGTATATGTTCAGGGCAACAGTGTGACCCTACAGTTAATTTCCCATACCGTCCGATACTTGGAAAGTACTAGTCATATAATTAGCAGCTAATTTTAATAACATACCTGTATGTCCGTCCGTGCCAATAGTTGGTCGACTGAAGGAATAATCTCCGCCTGTCAAAAGATTAGATATGAAGCATTCAGCAAGGCATGTATAATGTCTAGTGAGATAAAGACTATTGATAAGTATGGTACCTTTGGCTCGTTATATATAGTATGAAGTGAATCCACAAGAGGGTGATGAAACAATGTTAAGCAACGATCCTCACTAAATGCAATGAGAGGAACCTTATGCTCAAGAGAGTACAGAATTGCCTGTAAATTGAAGAATGATCAGAATCTGGTCTCATATTGACCAGTAAATGTAATAGCATGTGTTGAGGTCAGCATGAGACCAGCAAATGTAATAGCATGTGTTGATGTCAGCATGAGACCTTATGGAGCATAGTTTACATATATACCCTTGTGGATGGAGTACCTGTTTTACAATTGGTATGCCGTAATCTCAGTAAAGAGCATTTCTCACTAACAGTATGTATGTACTATCATAAACTTATAGATAATCAACAAATCCGGCATCACCCAAGTATATGATAATCATGCAACAACAACAACAACTACGTCTCAGTCCCAAACAAATTGGGGTCGGCTGTATGAATCCTCACTTCATTCTTTAAGCTCTCAACTCATATTATCATCATATCAAAATAAAATAAAAGTGAAAGTGAAATACAGGTTAAGTATATATATATATAAAATAAGAGTAAAATAGAAAGTAATTAAGACAAACAGAAAGTACCCAGATGTTCTTATACTCGCAGACAAATCACTATAAACTCACATTTAAAACAAAAAATTGCACCTTTCAGAAAAAAATTGTGCAATCACAAATTTGTACTTTAACTAATATATATTTTAGAAGAATGTAGAAGTTACTTTCCATCTATAACATAGAGAAACAATGAAAAAACAAAATTCATTAAAAAGATTCTCCGAGATAATGTTCAAACCTTAAAATAAACCATTTTTATTTTGTTTTTGATAATCAAAGTAGTTCACAAAAATCAGCAGCTGGGAAGTGCTTAACTTTACAAATTATAAAGGACTTGAACTCCTTGAACTAACGAAGTCCATCAACGTATAAGGATTACACAATGGTTGTGAAACCAGTGCCATTATATGAGAATGATGCTGGGTTTTATATCCACAAAACATGCCATATAAATGCAGATATTAAGATGGAGCTGTCATATAAAATACTACGCATGATAGAAATGACCAAATCCTACAAAAGATGCAAGTAGCCTGAATGGTGGATAAAATGAGAAAAGGTCGCTTAAAGTTGGATTAATCGCGCCCTACATAGACCTCCAAATGCATGATGTGTGCATTTAACTGTTGAAGGGTGAAATTTAATAGTGGCATATATTCTAACTGCATTGAACATACAATGTATTGGTAGCCTTACAGTCATAATAAGTAGATTTCCAAATTACTTAGGAAAGGTAATCTAAGAGTCATTTCTTTATAATGGTAGTGTTCAGACCCAGCTCGCGTGCACCTCCCACCAGTGCAAATACCAAGTAATTTTGTCCATCTCGGCTTTGGCAAATGGGAAGACATCACATAGTGTTTTTTGCCTCATGCGTTGAACCTTGGTTTTTCAGGTTTACATCCACTTCGTTGACCAATGGACAACCCTTGAGCGCATCTAAGAACCATTTGCTATTGAAGTTACGTCATTTTTATTTTAAAAAATAAGAGAACCAATAAATTGACACGTGAAACATATGATTTACATCCATAATTTACTCCCGAGTAAATCACAACATTTTGTAGTGCTATAATATTTATTTTTATTCAAAGAGATTGATTAATGATATATGAGTAGTGGATAAAAGAGAGATGTTGTATAACATGTTGCTTGCTATGAAATAGCATTGTATAAAAATCTTGATTTGAAAGAACGAGATGAACAAGACTGTAAACAAATGAAAGTGAACTAAGACAGCCACAAGCAAAGGCACATACCTCTTTACACACATTCAGATCCAAGTTTCTTCGAGAAATTTCCCGGCCTTGTCTGCCATAAACGAGCAACCCCTAACAATTGTATGGTTTTGAAAAACATAAGAAGCTTATAGCCATGGGAAAAATTAGAAAAGTGATAGCTATAAAATTCTATACCACAAAAAGAAACTATTACCCCTTTTAGCAAAACTAATGCCTCAAATATGCCACAAACTTGAGAAAATGGCTCATATATGCCACTTGTTAATAGTTGGTCTTGAATATGCCCCGGTCTTTATCATTTTGGGTCATATGTGTTATACCCACTAACAAAATCTAATTAGTAACATATTTTTCCAAGGGGGTGTGCCGCCACAATGGTTTTCATGGTGGATTTTGGAGATGAATCGAATGTGGGTTTGTATGTTGCTTGGGGTGATTTTATGAGAAGATGAAAATCAATGACCAACTTTACATTTTGGGATGTTAGAAAATATATTCGTTTTACTCATAAAAGGAAATGTGTCCTTTTTCTCCCAACTTCCGATACTAATTCGATATCTTATAACCAAAAAGTTAAATGGGACCACCTTTATACTTAAAAATGCTAACATTCTCATTAAACTTCATCTCCGCTCTAAACTATACAATAAAGTTCAGGTCCAGTCAATACATTTACCTAATTAAAGTAGGAGTATTTGTTTACTTCATACTCCCCTTAACCCATTTCATGTGGCACACTTTCCTTTTTAGTTTGTCCCAAAAAGAATGGCATCTTTCTATATTTTTAAACTATTTTATCAAACTTATAATTTTACCCTTAATGAAATGATTTATCGCCACACAAATGTATATGGCTTGTTTTAGACCATAAATTTCGAAAGTTTGTCTTAAACTCCGTGCCACTCAAACAGTGCCACATAAATTGAGACAAAGAGTACCTGTTTATTTCATATTTGTCTAAAAGGAAACAGGAAATAAGAATCTCATAAGGGCATTCAACATATAGAGATGTCCAGACTCCAAAAAACATTGCTACTGAGAATATGTTTGCCAAATTTCCCTGCATAATCATCCTTCTAGTTCTCCATCTTAGGCAACTTCTTCTATTTGATAATCCTTTCAACCTACTTGTATTTTCCGCGCGTTTCCTTTTTGGGCTCTCTCTCTCTCTCTCCCTCCTTCCCTCTCCCTCTCCCTCTAACAGACAATTTGATGTCATAGCTGCTGAAATAGAATGAACAAATCATGCTATAGAAAAGAATTTGTTAAGCAGTTGTTTCCCAAGCAAAGGTTTATCCTAAATAACATCATCAGATATGGTTCACAAATAGGCTACTCCCTCTATCCCTAATCGTTTCACTTTTTTCGTTTCTGTAGTACCGAAATGGTCATATTTGTTCCCGAATGGAAAACATGTAAAACCCTTCTATTTCACTTAAACTATGTGAAAAAGCAAATGGGACAAAGTTACGAGAAGGAAAGATTACTGCAACCAATAAAAATCCCTTTTTTTAGGAAGTAAAAGACGTTATGATTATCTTAAATGAATCTCTCCGTAATTTTGAAGTGAATGACTATTACCCATATCCAATTGGAAAGATTAAATGGTTCGAAAATTGAAGATGCTATTGACTAAGGATAGGGATGGAGTAAGACAGTAAGTTAACCTGCACGAATACTCCTGGAGAAACCTCTGAAGCAATGCCGTCTTTTCCAGCTAAACCTACACTCTTGAACAGAGTAATGACAGCAGGACGGGTCTGCCAAGACAAAATACAAAGCTTATGATAGTTACTCCGAGGCAGAGGAAAAAAATGGTATATTGCATAGGGAGATACTATTAGATCAGAATTGAAATCAGAAAACTACTGTAGGATATGGGAAAAGAAAAAAAACGTGTCCTCACTTTTCCAGTAGCTATCACCACTTTTACACCCCTAGAAGTGGCCTCTCTTAGAGCTTCAACAGTTGCTGAACTAATCTGACTTTTGCTGTTGAGGAGGGTACCTTACATCAACAATGGGAAGAAACCAACAAGATAATAAACAGGTGAAACAGATTAAAGGAACCAATTCTAAGAATCACAACTGTTTTCTTACCATCCATATCACAGAAGATGTAGCTAAACTTTGGTCTGTAAAATCGAAGACTCCCTTCTTTCTTCCTGTCTTTACACAGTTGGCATGTAAGATTATCTCTTCAATGTAAACTTACGAAAGAGAGTAACAACATAACTGGAAGAGAGTAATTTAACAAAGAAAGACACAATCTTTTTGTTATTATTAGGCACATTACCAATGTTCTCCAAAGGACGACTATCAGCATCCTCAGCATCATATGCACTCTGAATCAATCCTTTTCCCTTCCACCCAAGACTTTTTAGAAGGATCTCCTCTTCTTTCTCCATTTCAGCTTCAGCTTCATCACTAAGCTCATGATCGAACCCCAAAAGATGTAGCAAACCATGAACCTGCAGGGGAGACAAATAACGATTGTCTCATTTGTAACACAATACTCCCTCCGTTTCAAAAAGATTGTCTTAGTTTGACTTGGCACGGAGTTTAATTTTTGGGAGAAGACTTTTGGCAGCTCATTTAAATATACTCCCTCTCTGTTAAAAAGATTGGCATCTTTCTAAATTTGGTAATCCTCTTACTTTTGAGTTCCATTACTACCCTAGCTATCATTCGCTTTAAAAAACTGACAAGACCCCCACTGAATACAAAAGTAAACAATGCGGGAACTAGGATTATTACATTAGGTAGAAAAGTCAATGTTTTAAAAGTAGGGCTAAAACGTGTCAGATCTCTTTCATTTTCTTAAGATTTGGCTTTTACACTTTTATTCTTTTCCACTCTTTTGCTGCATTCAAACATAATACAGCAAACAAGATTTGGATTTGACACGTTTTTCATTCTTTCTCACTTTTGTTGTAACACCGAAGATAGAGTACTTGTTTAGGCAAAATGATATCTTACTTTATGAATAGTTTGACATTAAACATAACCAACGAAACAAATCCATGATTTAATTTTTTAGGTCACGTATGTCTTCGACACCTTAATTAAAACAACCTAAAACTTCATGAGATATGCACCATATTTAGATGAAAAATCACAACAAAACGACTAAGCTCCAGGAACCTCAGGTTCACACCAAAATTTTCTAAATAGCCACTATAGTGCAACACTTTTCAACTAGAGTAACTAGATAATCAACCATAAATAATCACATCACTTAAACCTATAGCGATAAACAACACAAATCAATTTTCAAAAATTGGCAATTGCTTAAAAAATGAATTGTAATCTCAACCATCAGAATAATAAATGACAAAATACAATGTTCTCTTCAACAAGATGATTTTAGCATCTCAAGATAAAGAAAGCAACTCCAATGGAATTTTAAATTTCTAGTCAAAAGTCCTCAAACTACAAACTGCAGAAATTGAGCAAGCCTCTCCCCAAAGCAGTGAACCAAGAAGCACAAAATAATTTTGGGAGCAAAACGCATCAGGATACAGTAAACATCAACGAGATTAATTTCTTCAAAAAGCTTGACCTTCATATTTTTATCAATCTGTACCAATTGTCATTATAAACAGGGACAAAAACCAGATTGTTACGATACATATAATTTATTAAAGATATACAAACTTAATATTCCCATTTCTTAAAATGTAGTACATGATTCTTAGATTATAGACTTAATGTTTATAGCTTCATTAAATACACCAAGTGTGTACAAAAAGAGCTAACACAAAAATTATACTCCAACAGTAGTCAAGGTTATAAATCAGAAACAAACCTTACAAAAAAAGTTATAGATAACCTTGACGTATTACTATCTGATACACCTTAAAGAACAGCTAGAGATTCATCAACAATGACAATGTCACAACAAACTTGAATAGGAAGATCTCCCTGTCGTTCTAGCATCTCTTTTTCATATGTGGCACTTTGTAGTTGTTCCCACATTTATCTTTCATCACCTCGACCATGCAAGATTGTAGATTTAGAAACACATGATTCAACCGTTCAACTGTATATCATTAAAAGATCTCTCAACTGCATTTATTAACTCATCAATCTTTAAAGGAGTCATTTGATATTGAAGGGATTTGATAGCTCTAAAGAATCCAAAATCCAAAACATTTAGATCGAGACTATTAGGAGGTTGAAAATATAACCTAATATCAAAAACATCTTGTCGAGCAGCCCCAGTAAATTCCAAGTCATCAACCACTAAGATGAGGTCTTGCATTATCTTGTTGAATAAAAATAAGAGCATTTGATTGCGAAAGTGGCCACTTTGATTGAATCGGTGGAAGAACTCTTTCTATTAAGCAAATCCTAGTGAAAGATAAAACAAAATTAGTTTCTGAAGTTCCAGCCACTCTATTTTTGTTATTCCTTTTAGCTAGTTCCTTGACTACAAAGGGAAAAATGCCTATTTTTCCAAAAAAATAATTCAACTACATCTTCATCAAACTAGTCGCGCAACGGCACTAATAAGCATAACTTTTGTTATGAAGCTCTTACTTTTAAAAGATTTATATGGGTTTGGATAATGTTCCTCAGGAAGAAAGTAGAACTTTGCATATTTTTCGGTCAGAAAGAACCATTTTTCGCCTATATAAGCATATCAATAAACATAAGATTTGAATGGAGTGTACCAAGACTCAATCATTTATACGCAGAATCGAACTCTTGCTTTCTTATTTTCCTCTGTCAATGAGGCTTTATGACATTAATATGTGACCTTATTATAGAACCTTCTTTCATATGCGACAAAACAGTTGATGTTGACATATTTATAGTACAAGCCAAAGGCCGAATATTTGTTCGATGACAAAGAGGGGTTTCCTTGACAAATTAACTTTGATGTGAACCCGTTTCCTCCCAACTTTGTCAGCATAAATAGTAGACACATCTAATGAATTAGCATTACTAACACTTAAGTTTGCATGTTTCCAAATTTGTACCACTACTCTCTTTGAAATATTGAACAAAATTTATGTTTCCTTTAGAGAACCATATTTAAGAGTTCCTCTTTTACTTTCCTTTAAAAGCCATTTTGTAATAGTTTGGCGCTCCTCATTTTTTAGTTGTAACCAGAATATAGATAAATATAAAAAAGAAACAAAGGAAGCAAAAATGAGTTCATCTCAATATATATGTATAAATAGATAAGCCTTTCATTTAATCTCACAGTGGCGCCACTAACAAAAATTTCACCCACCCTAATATCAGTAATAGCCAAAAGTTGCTGAATTTCAGGAAAAGAAATTTTGAAATATGTTTCCATCCCATCAATATGGTTGGTTAAAAATATTCACCAAATCTAGAATAAAAAATTCATAGAGATCTTGTTCAAACCTGGTTTGCTGATAAATCCATAGAAATCTTGTTCACTCCATTCGTAGAGAAAGAAAGTTTTTCCTTTTGACTTGGTGAAAACGCTTAAGGTGAATATTTTGTTGAAATGGGAAAGCTCCAGGATGGGGTAAGTTACCGGGGAAAGGACACCAATGTGGAGAGAGAAGATGGACCATGTCAAGTACTTTATCTATTTTCCATTCAAAATCTAGTTAGCTGGCCCTTAAGAGTATAATTGGAACTTGGTATATTCCCTCGTAAAAATAGCACGGTATAGCCTGTTTTCGGACTGGTCATTTAAAAATAGCTAGCGTTTACCAAGTCAATGAAAAATAGCCATTATTTTGCTGCAACAGAGACCGGTCCAGTATAATATACTGGAGTTCGATGCACCTGTGTATGAACTCCAGCATATTATACTGAACCGGTATACTTTGCCGGCTCCAGTATAATATACTGGAGACTGAGACTGAAGCATCGGTGCTCCAAACTCCAGTATATTATGCTGGACCGGTATACTTACTGGAACTCCAGTATATTATGCTGGAGTTCTAGTGTACTTATGCTGGAATTCCATCATATTATGCTGGAGTTCTAGTGTACTTATGCTGGAATTCCATCATATTATGCTGGAGTTCTAGTGTACTTATGCTGGAATTCCATCATATTATGCTGGAGTTCTAGTGTACTTATGCTGGAATTCCATCATATTATGCTGGAGTTCCAGCATAAGTATACTTGAACTCCAGCATATTATACTGGAGTTCCAGTAAGTATACCGGTCCAGCATAATATACTGACGTATTTTTCGGGTTTTGAACAGTGTTTTCGTTCAGATTTATCTTTACATGAAAAGTGGCTAAATTTCGATTACTTTTGAAACTGCCTATTTTTGAACGACCAGTTGTAAATCTGGCTACTTTTGAATTTCACCCTATTCCCTCTGTTTCAAAAAGATTATCTTAGTTTAACTAGGCACAGAGTTTAATTTTTGGGAGAAGAAGCCAAATTTCTTTTCCTGAAATATAGCAGCTTTTGGTTATTACTGATATTAGGGTGGGTATAATTTTTGTTGTGGCGCCACAGAATTTCACTTTAGATTAAGTCAAAGTCTTATATATTTATACATAGATATTGAGATGAACTCATTTTTGCTTCCTCTGTTTCTTTTTTATATTTATCTATATTCTTGTTACAACTAAAAAATGAGGATACAACTAAAAAATGAGGAGCCCCAAGTTATTGCAGAATGACTTTTAAAGGGAAGTAAAGGAGGACCTCTTAAATATGGGTCTCTAAAGGAAGCAAAAATTTTGCTTAATACTCCAAAGAGAATAGTGGTACGAATTTGGAAACAGGCAAAATTAAGTGTTGCTAATGGAAATTCATTAGATGTGTCTACTAATTATGCCGGCAAAGTTGGGAGGAAACGAGTTCACATCAATGTTAATCTGGTCAAGGAAACCCCTCTTTGTCGTCGAACAAATATTCGATCTTTGGCTTGTGTTATAAATATGTCAACATCAACTGTTTTTCGGCGTATCAAAGAAGGATCTATAAGGTCACATACTAGTGTCGTAAAGCCTTATTTGACAGAAGAAAATAAGAAAGCAATAGTTCAGTTCTACCTATCAATGATTGAGTCTGGTGCACTCCATTCAAATCTTATGTTTATAGATATGTTTAATTATGTTTATATAGACGAAAAATGGTTCGTTCTAACCGAAAAATCTGCAAAGTTCTACCAACTTCCTGAAACATATGAGCCAAACCCATAGAGATCTTGCAAAAGTAAGAGCTTCATGACAAAAGTTATGTTTATGAGTGTCGTTGCGGCAACCTAGGTTTGATGAAGATGGAGTTGACTTATTTTCCGAAAAAATAGGCATTTTTCCTTTTGTAGTCAAGGAACCAGCTAAAAAGAATAGCAAAATAAAGTTGTTGAAACTTTAGAAACTAAGCCTATTTTATATGTCACTAAAGGTCATTGGATTTGCTTAATAGAAAAAGTTCTTCCAGCGATTCGATCAAAGTGGTCACTTTCGCAATCAAATGCTCATATTTTGATCAACAAGATAATGCAAGACCTAATCTTAGTATTGATGACTTGGAATTTACTGAAGCTGCTCGAGAAGATGGATTTGATATTAGGCTATGTTTTCAACCTCCTAATAGTAACAATCTAAATGTTTTGGACTAAGGATTCTTTAGAACTATCAAATCCCTTCAACATCAAATAGCTCCTTCAAATATTGATGAGTTAATAAATGTAGTTGAGAGATCTTTTAATGAGATGAAAGTTGAACTGTTGAATCACGTGTTTCTCAATCTACAATCTTGCATGGTGGAGGTGATGAAAGATAAAGGTAGGAACAACTACAAAATGCCACATATGAAAAAGAGATGCTAGAACGACGGGGAAAATCTTCCTATTCAAGTTTGTTGTGAAATTAACATTGTTAATGAAGCTCTAGTTGTATTTTAAGGTGGTATTAAATAGTAATACGTCAAGGTTATCTATAGCTTTTTTTGTAAAGTTTGTTTTTGATTTATAACCTTGAATAGTAGTTGGAGTATAGCTTTTACGTTAGCTCTTTTTGACTTTTTGTACACACTTGGTGTATTTAATAACGCTATAAACATTAAGTCTGTAATCTAAGACTCATGTACTCTATTTAAAGAAATGGTAATATTAAGTTTATGTATCTTTAATAAACTATATTTATCGTAACAATCTGGTTTTTGTCCCCGTTTATAATGAAGGTTGGTAGAGATTGATAAAAATATGAAGGCCAAGCTTTTCGAAGAAATTAATCTCGCTGATGTTGACTGTATCCTGATGTATCCCAAAATTATTTTGTGCTTCTTGGTTCACTGCTTTGGGGAGAAGCTTGCTCAATTTCCGAAGTTTGAAGACTTCCGACAAAAAATTTAAAATTCCATTGGAGTTGCTTTCTTTATCTTGAGATGCTAAGATCATCTTCTTCAACTTAGGCTTGTTTTGTTTGGATTTCCCGTCTAAATATGGTGCATATCTAATGAAGTTTTAGTATATTTTAATTAAAATGTCGAATACGTACGTGACCTAGCAGATTAAACCATGGATTTGTTTCTTTAGTTATGTTTAATGTCAAAGTATTCACAAATTAAGATATCGTTTTGCTTAAACAAGTTACAGCAAAAGTGAGAAAGAATGAATAAAGTAAAATCCAAATCTTGTTTGTTGTATTATGTCTTCAATGTTGAATGCTTGAATGCAACAAAAGAGTAGAAAAGAATAAAGTGTAAAAGCCAAATCGTAAGAAAATGAAAGAGATCTGACACGTTGTAGCCCTACTTTTTAAAACACGGACTTTTCTACCTAATATAATAATCCCACATTATTTATTTTTGTATTCGGTGGGGATCCAATGATGATTATCGGAATTCGGGTTCAAACCCCGGCAGCGGAAATCTTCTTCGGAAACAGCCTCTCTACCCTCAAGGTAGGGGTAACGTCTGCGTACACACTACCCTCTCCAGACCCCACTCGTGGGATTATACTGAGTTCTTTGTTGTTGTTGTTGTTGTATTCGGTGGGGTGTTGTCGGTTTTTTAAAGGGAATGATAGCAAGGGTAGTAATGGAACTCAAAAGTAAGAGGATTACCAAATTTAGAAAGGTATCAATCTTTTTGGAACAGACCAATAAGGAAATAGTGCCTATCTTTTTTAAAGAGAGGGAGTATCAAATTCTGCTACCGTTGGTTCAAACTACTATGCTCCTTCCTACTTCAGGAAAATGACAATCCAAAAGGCTTTAAATATATAACCATATGACTGCATGAATCGAGCAACCGAAATAAAGGAGTGAAAGAAACGATGCATGTCCATATTTAATGGACACTAATGGATGGACTACCTAGTACAAAAATGCCAAGGGTACTTATCATGGAAATATATTGACAACCAAGCTTGCGGACTAGCCTTTCTTTTAGTGAAAATATTCCGAGATGACCACATATTGCATCATAAATTAGGGACAGGAATCGGTCATCAACTGTAAGACAGCTCGGATTTAACAGCAGCATACAGTGAGTTTTTCAGAGGTATGTGAAACCTACCAGTAAGATGCGTATCTCGTCCAGTAGACTATGTCCCCTTTCCTCTGCTTGCCGTGCTGCTGTCTCCACCGAAATCACAATGTCTCCCAACATTAACTGTAGAACACGGACCTGGTAAGCCTTTTTAAATGAGGTGTGACATGCGAATAATGCAGCTAGTTCTTACAATTGGAAGCTCAAGTTCAGGTATATGTTGAGACATTGAAAGAACATCAGTAGGGTGGTCCTCATCTCTCCAATCCTTATTAAGCTCGCGGATGAACTCATCGTTGCAAAGCAGTACTGATAATTCAACAGTTTCAAAGCAACCAACATCATTAATTACTCTATCCCTCGTTTGATACTCTGAGTCTTTCAAATTATCAAATGCTAACTTCATAGCCATTGGAACATTAAGACGAAGCATTTCAGCAATATCCTGCAGTGGCAAAACTGGGAATGAATAAAATAGAATGAAACGGGTTTACATTTTTTAAATAAGAAACAAATTTACAAATAAGAGTTGCTGCAAAGAATTAGTGCATAAACTTTCTTGATGGAATTTTACTTGGAATTTTCAACTAGCTCAAAGGGGGTGGATTACTTTACTTAAAATGCATATATGTTCCTGCCTATATTACTGATTTTGGCATATTTGATGCTGAAGTTCTTTCTTTTGATGAAGAATATTTGATGCTGAAATTCTTGCAACTTCAATCCCTATTATCCATTGTGGAAGTATGCATGACCGTATCTCCTTCCTGGCCCGTGAAACTCGTTTATCGGATTTACATTGCATTGTCTTTTTCTAAGTACTAATTCTCAATCTCTTTCTTACTAAGCCCAGTTTGGAAGTGAAATCATGAGATACCTGTAATTCAATTAGCAAGACCTACTTATTCTCCAGTTGAGTCCTTGGCATTCTAAACAATAAGTAGATATTTTTTCCCAGAGGAAAATGATACTAAGACAAAGTTAAGACTTAAGAGTAAAGAAGTTCAAATATTGCTCATGAACATATTCTCATCTTATCCACATAAACGCCGTGTTTACACGGATGAGGGACATCAAATGATCAATGGGTGCCAAAGATGTGCATACATATGATTTGCATTTGCTCTTCCTATTGATATTTGCAATTGAACACTAAAGTTCAAAACTTCACATATAATAAAAAAGGATTTATACACTATGTAATGATTCTTTTACACCAATAGTGTATTTTAACCTGTTATAGCAGGTTAATTACCATTTATTATAGGTTACCAATCAATGTAATTTAATAGAGCTACCTGCAATTAGTTTAAGCCACATGATTAGTGTATAGAACTTAAACTAAAAATGATGGGCAAATCAAAATTACCAAATTTGCAAAATATTAACCCAGGTATTACCAGAATTTCAGGATCATCGGGCAATTGCTCTTCAATACAAATCTTTACACTAAGTTCCAACTCTTTCTCTTTGTCTCTCTTCTTCAGCGGCCGTTTCCGAAACTTCCGATAGTCTCTCTGCGAAGCAAACACTTTACCGTACCATCCGCCAACACTCCATTTCCTATCCCCTGTGCAACTCAAGCCATTGTGAAACTTCCGACCAAAAATTGACGAGGATTTTGCGAAGGAAACATGAGCCACCGTAGGCAGTGGAAGAGTAAGAAAATGCGAGTTTGCGGAGAAAGCCATGGCGGAGGCGTGTGCGGAATGGAGAGCGCGTGGGAGAACACGCGCCGCCATGGCGAGTGGTGGTGGAGGGTGAAGAGTGCGGCAAAGAAGAGATAGCATTCAGGTTGAAAAATGTAGGAGTAGTATTTATTTGTGTATCTTTTTTGCTTAAAATGTAACGCTCGATTGTGTGGTGCTGCGAATGCCGTTAATTTAGCGATAACAGCGCGACCCTTTGCGCTGGACGGAGGGTTAGACGGCGGCGCGGTAATGACCTCCGTCTTCTATACTAACTTGCACACTAGTCAAGTAATCAAGACATTGTATATTAAAAAAGAATGATAGAGAAAATAAAACTAATCGTTAATCTTTATATTATTTTCGAGTAAATAAAAATTATAGCAAAAATAAATAAGCTAAGTGCCCAAAGAAACTATCTTTCATTAAGATTACTAGGTGGGCTCGGCCCGTGCAACATTATTTAGTTTTGTATGATTTCTAATTGCAGATCTAATGGAAATTGATATTGTAAGTGTGAAATCAAGTAGACAATATTACATGCTAATTGGCAGATACCTATTTACATACATTTTGATCAAAATATATATTTTCATCCATGAGAGCATCAGATTAAGGGATACTTAAAGTGCCATAGTAATTACAACAGGTATGACATAACTATTTACATATTCGCTCTATATGTGGTGTTTGGTCTTCTTTCTGGTCTTCTTTTTAGTGGTTCTTGACCAAAAATGCCTGCAAATAAATAAATATGTTACACTTCATTGTCAAAAGAAGCCAACATATCTTCATGCAAATAATGTGTTTGTTAAGTTGGTAATAAATAGTCAATCAGTGAATAAAGGAAATTATGTTAGAAAGATTATGGTAGTATCACAGATACACAGTAAAGTAGAGATGAAAAATGGATAAATAAAATTCACAATCCCTTAAGTGCATTGGTTCAAACACGAAATAACTCTTCTTATGTGAGTGCTTCACGCACAGACACAGACTTGGTGAGCTTTTAGAAGATTTCTTATGTGACTGATTCACACATCATAGGGACTTCAATCCCAAAGTATTTGAAGCCCACTATAAGAAGAATCCTCTGTATCATTTCCTTCTGTTCAGCTCATTTCACTTCATTTCCAGATCTCGTTCAGATGCATATGACAATCCCAATATCAATTTTAAAATGTCTTTAAACCCATTAATATTGAAACAATGCCGATAATATCCCCACAAAAATTAAAAAGCAAAAAATAAATAACGAACCAGTAGGGTAACCAGTTGTGCCAACACTTCCGGTGACAGCAGCAATAGCTGCTATACATATTCACAGATTCTTCTAAGTTACACATAGGGGTGGAAAACGGGTGGGTCGAAATGGGTAATTCAAAAAATAGATAAATTATCCGATCTGACCCGCAGTTGAGACGGATAAAAACCGGGTTATCCGGCAGATAATATGAGTATCCATGTTATCCATGGCTTCTTGAATATAATAACTTATGGCAGAATTCTTAGTCTCCCAAATTTGAGGAACCCTCAAGTTGAACCCCTAATTTGTGGCTTTATAAATGTAAAAGCTAAACACATTTGTTATCCATTTGGTTTACCATTTTCTAAGTGGAAGATATGGTTCTTATCCATATTCGACCCATTTTTAAAAAGTTCATTATTCAACCCATTTTTAAAAAGTTCATTATTCAACCCATTTTTAATGGATAATATGCGTACACATAAGTTCCTTTGCGAGCTCTTAGAGGATTTCTATGTGACTGCTTCATACACACGCACATACAAAATGTGGGCACACATAAACTTTAGTGACCTGTTAGAGGATTTCTTATGTGACTGCTGGCGCGCACGCAAACACATAAAAAAAAATTGTTCAAAGGTAACAACTACTCAAACAGAACACTATTACTTATAAGTTCCTGGATAGTTACAAAGTACTACTAAACATAAAAGCTGCAATTGTAAATAAAGAGGCAACAAAAAGGATTTTGAATAGAAATGAAAGAATGAACTGACTTTAAGTTTTCCTAAAAAAATTCTCAAATTATAGCAAAATTCTCAGGAGAAATGCATCTATATCCAAAAAAGCAGAAAGAAAATGAAGTGAAATTGAAATGTAACAACTGAGCACAAAAGCAACCACAAACACTTGGAATATTGAAAGAATGGAAAACTTCAACGTTTCAATTGAAAATCCGTCTGCAGAATTCACAGCAAGATTGCATTTTTATCCAATTGCAAAAGAAAAGAAGGGAAAGTGAAATGGAATAACAAAGCACAGAAGCAACCACCAAGATTCTGAATTGAAATGCAAGAATGTAACTATAATTTAAATCAATTCAGTAGTTGGTACAATATGTGGACTAATTAATTGGTTGCTTCATTAGCATGCAAAATATTAATAATTGTAACATCTAAACAAATTGCTTTATTATATTTAGAAGGAAATTATCTGCAAAATCCCATACTATTGTTCACAAAATTCTAAAGCAGTCGTATTCGTATTAAAATCTCACGTTTCAGCTATCTATTCTGTTCTCTTAGAATTGATCATACAGTGAGATGAAAGCTGTAATTCTAAAGTGCAATATTTTCATGATAAGGTCAAAGGGAACAATAACATTGGCAATTGTTTAAAGTGTAGTTGGAAATCTTTAAAATTTCGAAATACTTGAGGTATAAGCTGAACAATGTTAAGGACTAAAGCAGTAGGAAGATGCATAGCCTTGGATAATTTTTCTCTTAGGTGCGTTTTTAGCAAATATCGGGTCAGTATGTGTATTTTATTAACACATGTTCTTCATTCAATGGTAGAAGTAGGTTTATCTTGTCTTGTTCAACATGGAGTGACCCGTTTTTTATTAAGTTTTAATTTTCCACGATGCACTAAACTCATCTTTTCTAAAACAAAGTTATGACATAGTTATGTGGCAGCTTTTCACCGCCTCCAGTTACAACTATTTCTTTTCTTTTTTTTCATTTTCTTATATTAATTTATTTATGTTATCCGACTAATCTCTAGTGTTGTATAAAGCGTGAATCGAGGAAAAGTGACAAGCTCCTTTTCAATTAAAGGGTAAAGCGAGAAAACGAAAATAAGAACTTATTAACACTAAAGCAAAAAAATAAAATAAAAATTGTACAGCATTTCGTTGCAATTTTAAGGACTGAAAGTCTGGAAAAAAAAGGAGGAGGAGGAGGAAGGCACATACCCGGGCCTGACCAATACTATCCAGAAGAAATTCAAGGTTTCTTCAACCCAGCTCTTATATCAGTCTTGTCCCTGTCAAGCATTAACGTTAAAAGAATTACTACAAAGTTGATTTCATGTTAACAAAAATAATGATGTCCATGATACAACACCAAATACCACCAAATTTATGATAGACTCGAGCCAATGTTTCGACGTGGCTGCTTAAAGTCTTTTAAGAAAACATTAAGGGCATTTCAGTCTTTGCAATGACATAGTTTACGTGTCTCTTTAAGCGTTCATTTTGTATCGGTATGTGTAAATTGCAGATCATTCGAACATAGTAGTAGCTGTTTTCGTTTCTCTTTGTACTTTGTTTCTTCAGTCTCCATAGGCACTCTCAGAATTGTGTGTTCTTGCTCCCAAGGGTGAGTGTTCTAGCTGCAGGTTTGCTCTTCTTTTTAATGTTTTTCTTAGACTAAAAATAACACAGATGCAGAATATTTAGTTAGTCTAGACTCTGGACTCACATGTTCTAATATATACCAATTTGCTTTTTCTTTTTTTCTCTTTTTTCCTCCTTTAATCTCTCCTCTTTAAAAAAAAATTGGACCAAGTTTATGAAATGTTCTGCAGGTGAAAAGATGAGGAAGATTTTGGCATTATTTCCAACCATGTACCTATCAGGCGGCACTTGCATTACATTAATTATGGTCGGAGGTAGAACTATGAAGATTTTCTTTCAAGCAATATGCGGTTCTGATCATTGCCATTTTAACCCCACCAAGTACAATAGAGTGGTACATTGTATTCGCTGTCTCAGACATAGTTCTTGCTTAGCTTCCTAATTTGAATTCCATTGCTGGAATTTCTCTCGTCGATTCAATCTCATCAATGGCTTATTGTAATTTGTACCTTGACATGAGTAGTTTCTGTTGTCAAAGAAAGGGCAGAAGGGGTTTCTTTTGAACCTGTTGAAAATAAATTTGACTTGGGAAGAGTTTGTAGCATTTTAAATACTGTTGGAATGATAGCTTTTGCTTTATATATGGGATTCTTGTTAAGGAAAAAATGTAGGCCAGTAGTATTAGTAGCTCGATTCAGCTGTTTCACTAACAGTGGCGAGCCATAACAAAGCTTAAGCTGTTAAAGGTTAATTACAAAAGAGAGAAACCTTAAGGTCATAGAGGGCATAAAAGTTCTCACTCTTGCCAAAACTAAAGATATCATACTAAGAAATGCATTTCAGAACGTCGACTTTTTTGTTTCTTCCACTAATAAGCAAAATCGAGCGAATGGTATCAAAAGCTTTAAAGTAAGAAGTTGATCATAAAGTTTACCTTATGATCTGAAGACTATTGAATAACACAATTGCAAGAACTGCAATAACAAAGAGAATAAATCGGGGGCAAATAGTATCATAACTCCAACCAAAATAAAGGATAAAGCTGAAAAGTTAGTACATCCTCAGAGTTAACAACCAGTTTGATCACACTGTCTCTAATATTTACAGAAAGATAAGGCGCCTCGCAAATAACTTCATAAGTAAAAACTTTAAATTAAGAACTTTTGGAAAAATACAGTTTTGCGACTATCGTTACAATAAATAAAATTCAGTAATCATATATGTTATTAATCTGTTCTTCTCAGTATTAAGTTACATTTGCCGAAACTTTGTAAATTTGTCATTTTAATTTTCAGGTGTGAAAACTCTACACAACAAATTAATTATTGAAGCATTAGACCCTCTATTGAAAGGTGATTTTCCGGGAAAGGAGACATCAAAGGTCCTAAAAGTGGGGCTGCTATG